TCTGATAACACGATTTATTGCATTATAGTATAAAACCGAACGGAAGAAAAGTCAGCAAAAATCCTGATTAAAATCAATCGGATTGCACAGTAATTTAAAAACATGATTCTGGAGTCCTTTTTTGAAAAGTATAAATTTGTCAAGCACTTTAGTTTACAGACTGTAAATAAAGACAAATACAGCATTTCTGACAATCATGTAAATAAAAAATAATCACTCCATGCTAATTTGTAGTACCGTATTTCCTCTATTAGTAGTGCACACAGTTTTTACGCTATAGATGGGTTTCTAGTATTGGTGGTTTTTATGGCAGTATTTTCATGATCAGTGCTACGCTATTGTACCATATTTATTATGCCCATCTCTAATTTTGACACACAGAAAGCGGGGTACCCAGGATGACAAACCAAATAAATTACTCTGCATATATCACAGTAGCCCAGAAAGAGCAAATTATACGCACAAATTACACAGCATTTTACATCATCAAAGTAGTCCAGAAATGACAAATTCACGATGCCCATAAATTATGCAGAATAAAACATGGTCACCCAGAAACAGCAAATTCATAGTGCACATGAATTACACAGCTTTTACAATATCATGGTGACCTAGAAATAGCAAATTCATTTTACGCATAAATTACACAGCATTTCACACCATCAGAGTAGCCTAGAAACGGTAAATTCATGATGCGCAGCCTTTTATAATATCATGGTTACCCAGAAAAAGCAAATTAATTATGCACATAAATTACACAGCATTTTACAACATCATGGTAGTCTAGAAATGACAAATTCACGATGCCCATAAATTATGCAGAATAAAACATGGTCACCCAGAAACAGCAAATTCATAGTGCACATAAATTACACAGCTTTTACAATATCATGATTACCCAGAAAAAGCAAATTAATTATGCACATAAATTACACAGCTTTTACAATATCATGGTGACCTAGAAACAGCAAATTCATTTTACGCATAAATTACACAGCATTTCACACCATCAGAGTAGCCTAGAAACGGTAAATTCATGATGTGCAGCCTTTTACAATATCATGGTTACCCAGAAAAAGCAAATTCATTGTGCACATAAATTACACAGCTTTTACAATATCATGGTGACCTAGAAACAGCAAATTAATTATGCACATAAATTACACAGCTTTTACAATATCATGATTACCCAGAAAAAGCAAATTAATTATGCACATAAATTACACAGCTTTTACAATATCATGGTGACCTAGAAACAGCAAATTCATTTTACACATAAATTACACAGCATTTCACACCATCAGAG